AATTTGCAAACGAATGGGACTTCAAACACATCACATCAAGTCTAAACTTTCCACAAATGGATTAGCAGAAAGGAACATACAGACCATCAAAAATACTTAAGAAAGCATTTGAAAGTCAGCAAGACCTCTACTTAGGTATGCTAGCTTTAAGAACAATTCCTTTGAAGAACAATCTATCTTCACCGACAGAACAACTAATGAAGAAGACTTTACGCACACATCTTCCTAATATTAAACATAGTAAATCTATATAGTCTGCAAGCAAACAAAAATAGACACAACTACAAACACTAAAACCAGATGTTAATATATGCATAAAATTCTAGGAAAATTGGAAAAGAAAAGGAAAAATAATCCAAAAACTAGACAAACCTCATTTATATTTAGTAGCTACTGAAGAAGATACATACATAAAGTACAACAAAAGACATCTTCTAAAAACAAAAGAACACTCAACAAACAATACACCAAAAATGCATTTTGACTATGTAAACATATTTAACAAAACAAATAAACAAGAAAACTTAATAAAAAAAAAATATACCAACTAAATCACAAAATACCACAAGACAAAGGATAATAAAAATCCCAGCAAGACATCTTTAAAAGATCAGAAATGTTGGATACTTTCATTACCTCTTACTAACAATCACCATAAACACTACCCTACCTCCTAATAACATTAAGCAAAGATATCAGTTTCAATAAAGAGTCTGCATTGTTCAGACCTATTGTTTTTACCGCATTGTTTTATATCATTCTTATTCATTTGTTATTAACACAATAGCTAAATACAAAAAACAGAAACTACAAGCCATATTTTAATTATCCTGTGCTTATTAAAAACAATGTTAAATATTTGGAAAAAAAATGATTAGTGGTTCCTGTTATTGTCATATACAATTGCAATTACTTGACTATTTGATTACATTAACAATATATAAAACTTTTTCATGAAAAAAAGTTGCCTCTAATTTTGCAACTGATAATGAATTGCTTCATTGATTTGTGACAAGTACTGAAACATTGATATTTCTCTTTTTGAAAGAGAAAAAAGTTTTGTATATATACCAGCATGGTAACATTCAAATCTCAAGTTTTCAAAAATTTTAATTAAAAACATTGGAATACTTCCAGTGAAAAAAAAATCAACAGATTAGATGAACAGCTGATTGTTTGATTTAGAACATGTAACTGCTGATACAAAATCTTGATCAATATTCTGATACAAATTTTCAAAAGTGAGGATTTTGTCTTCTAAAAACTGTGCGAACTCATCATTTTGCTCATTTCACACAGAAGCAGAAGTTTTATTTGTTGGTTTTGGTTGAGGACTAGGTAATACGCTTATGGCAAATGATCAAAGATTGATGATGAATTTCTGGGTCACACTTGTAATAACCACTGCTTAATAATCAGATGGAAAATGCCTTTCACAAACAACAGTATTTGGTTTGTTGGGTATTGTCTCGAGGTATAGCCTTTAACTATCATTGTCACTCATTCTGATCTTGAGGAAGAGAAAATATACAAACCATATTTTGTTAACCATAGTTACCATGACAACCTGTTATATAGCACTTTTTGACCATTTTGAGAAAGATTTTGGGGTACTGAAATTAAAAAATATTAACTAAACTATTATTTTGTAAAAATTATATGGTGCTTCTAAAAAGAGCATGAAGCTTATATTCTATGGTCTGGAGTGATTAGGATTCAGAATTAAGAATTTTAAAGTTTTTATGAATGTGGGAATTTGTTATCTTATGTTACTTTCTATTGTATTTAAGGAAATGTGTGTTTCCAAAGGATTTCCGAATTGTTTCACTGGTCAGGGTGCGTTTTATGTTGGTTACATAGTGAACTGAACCTCCCTCGTTAAAATCTTGGGATAATTGTACTTTGTGGGGGGGTGCGGATCAATCAACTCCTCCCCCATAAAATACAATTATCTAAACAAAATTAACTAGTTTAATATTTCTACAGCATATTTTTAAAAAATATTAAACTGGTTAATTTTGTTTTACATTTTTAACAAGAGCAATTTTAGTAAAATTCAACATTTTTAAAAAACATTTTTTAAATAGGCATAAATACTGTATATTTCCACATACAAGGCAACCTCTAAATGTTAAAAATTACCACTAAAAATAGGTCATCTAATACAACAATTAAAAGACAGACATATATATATATATATATATATATATATATATATATATAAAAGTAAGTAAACATAGAAGTCAGCACTTAGAGGTGACAGTCTGTTTCATGCTAGACACAATCGTGGCCTGACGATTGCGTCCAGCATGAAACAGACCTAATGTTGACTTCTATGTTCACTTTTATATTTACACACTCTATCTCTGATATTGAGCACTTTATCCTATAAATATAGCATACCTTAAGACTATATTTCTTCATATATATATATATATATATATATATATATATATATATATATATATACACACACATTTTTTTTTTAATGATTGATTTTGTTTCGTTGCTCACACATTGTATAAAATATTTTATTAAAATTGAGTTGTGAAAAAAATGATTAAAAACATTGACATAATTTCAAATGGTCTTGTACAATCCTCTGGGATTTTTTACCTTTGGGTGTGGATTTTCAAATTAACTGACAAATTTTTCTTATGTGTGTATGCATACATGTTTAAAATGACTGATGGGACATTTTCATGCTGGTTTAAATGTTGCATATATGATTCTCTGGTCTGAGAGATATATGGTCAGTCATCTTGATAAGTGATTAGTGATGTGTCTAGCATAATTATTTATGAATTTGTTGGGAATGCAGTTCTCTATGGGGCCTTTCAGTTCATAAATAATGTTGGTCAAATGTAGTTTAGGTTATATTGGCAAGTTGTTGTTAAGGTTGGCCATTTCAAAATTTTTATCCGAGATTAACAGTCATTTGAACAATTTCTATATTAAGTCCAAAACAGGAAAAAAAACTTTGCATATGAGAAAAATACAATCAAAACCTTTTCAGTCATTTTAAACAAAACATGTATTAAAGAGGCATTGCTGCCCAAATACATAATTCTCTATCTCTATATATAATGAGAAAACTATATAAATTTTTACATATCTGAACAATTTTATGAAAATCTAACAGTGAAAAATGTTGACACATGAAATTTACATTGATGTGATTACATATGTACATGAAGAAGTGGTGCTGAAATTTTTTTTTTTTTTATGTGTTTTGGGTATATTGTCTGGTTAATTTTATTTACTTTCTTTTCCTTTATATTTTTATCACTTTTGTTATTAAATACCCCACATTGTGATAGATCTGTCAAGAAAGGTGAAATATGAGAGCCTGGACATAAATTTACAGTGGGTGATCTGGTGATTAAAACACTTTCGTCTTAGTAAATTGCTTTCTCTTTTAATTAAATATTTTTAAATCAAAATTATTGTCAGATTCATTATGGTGAATAACTAATGCATTAAAAAGATGTTTATAAAATATCTCTTTTGTGTCCATATAATCTTTTATTTAAATTCCTTAAGGTATCTCCTATGTATTCCTTTTTACAATTATTACAGGTGATAGTAAATCCCTCGAAGTTTTAGCTTATTATTTTGTTTTGTATTAAGTCGTTTATTGTTCTAGAAGTAGTTGTAACAAATTTTATGTTAAGCTTAGATAAATTCTTTTCAGTTGTAGCTGTAATAGTTGGTGGGGAGGAGTTTTATTCAAAATGGTTCACTCTTATATTTTGGAATATTTTATGAGCCTTTTGTTTTGCATTGAATATGAAATAATTAAGGTATTGGTGGTGGGGGCTTAAAAGTATTTTTAATGTATTTTGCTTTTTATAAATATTGAGGGCTACAAATTCTGAATGCTCTTTAAATAGAATCTGGTGAAAATTCCAGATTTTATTTTGTTATGGTGAGAATAGAAATTTGACGTCATTTTTATTAGTTGATTTGGACATTTACCATTACAGTGTAATGTGAGTCAAACCATAATTCTCATTTTAAAAAAATTCTACTTTAAGTAAAAGAGCCATTTATGAAGACAAAAGTGTATAGAAAGTGCTTTAATCACTAGATTACCCACAGTAAATTTACATCCAGGTTCTTACAACATTTCACCTTTCTTGACAGATCTACTATCACAATGTGTGATATGCAATAACAAAAGTGATAAAAACATAAGGAAAAAGAAACTAAATGAAATCAGCTAGATTAGACTACCCAAACATATATATTTAAAAAAAAAAAAAATCAAACTTAAAATTTCTGCATCCTATTTCCTTCATGCACATGTTTAATCACATCAATGTAAAATCACTTTAGTCTGAAGTCCTAAAATTTTTTCCACTACATATATGTATGCGCGCGCGCACACACACACACACACACACGGTTATTGAAAGTTCTTGGCCATGCCAATAAGAGATTCCTAAAATAAAGTCTGATTAGTCATTTTGTCAAGTGAGTTGGGCCAATAACTTTTCAGTACCTTCTTGTATATAGTTAACAAACCTTAGATATTTCTTATGTCTTCAAGTGCACTAAAATTAACTTCACTGTTCTATAAATAAAAACCTGTTTATCTTATGTTACAAATTGTTCAGTTGAAAATATCTTTATTTATATCTTTGTTAGTACACTTTTTTTTCATTTTTAACAACTATAATGTGCATCTATCATTTGTCAACATGGTTCATATATTTGTTTTTAATTATTCATTATATAACTTGCTTCTCTGTATTTCAATTAAATGCTGTTAGGTCATTGTTTGTTCATTATGCACAGATGAAATATTAACTGCAGTTTTATAATTAGTTTTTATGATGGATGTACTGTCTTTTGAAATAAATATTTTTCTGAAGTCAAAATGTGGCTTTTTAAAATGATTGATTGATGCTTGAATGTTAATAAATTTTGTGCATTTTTAAATTTTTGATTTTACTTTAAACATTGAAATAACTAACTTTGGCATTTTTATTTTTTAGTTGTGGATATGTCAACAAATGCTTTCACAAAAGGAAGAAGTTGTTGAACTTATGATAGAAAATTTTGATAAAATGCTGCATGAAATAAAACTCGTCCTTCGTTTATGCTTGCTGTAAGTTACCATCATTTTTTTTTTTTTTTTTTTGTATTTAAACTTTCTCAGTTGCTCAGCTGTTCACTTATTTTTCTTTTTTTTTTTAATTCTTAAAGTAAATTTGTCTTTAATAATTTGCATTAAAAAGTAGATCCAACAATTACTTTTTTAATGAAAGTTAATTGGAAAGGATTGGAAGTTTCTAAAAATTTAATTTTTTGTGTTAATACTCCACTGGAGTTGAAAAAAAAATGGGAGGTGAAGGAAGGAAGAAAGAAGGATCCCAGAAAAAGGGACGTACATAATTCTTTTATGACTATGGGAATATTTAATTTAAAATAATATAAAACTTAAACTGTTGCACAGGGATATATAAATTCTATTTAATATTTTAGTTAATTTTGCTTGGAAAATGGGCTTAAATTTTTCATAATAGATTTTATATAAATTTTTGTAAACACATTTTCATTCTTTTTTCTTTTCTTCTAGTTTTCTTGAGAATCTAAATCCTTCAGTTTCTCTGGCAATGCCAATGCGAATGTTAGAAGTATTCACAGCAATAGACACTTACAAAAAAATCCCAGTGAAAAAAGACACAACCAGACCTCATATTGTTCAAAATATATTTGAATTTTTATGTAACAAAGGTAAGTGTTTATTTTATCAGTCTTCAAAAATAAAATATTCCTATTTACAAGTATCACTATATCTTACAAATATGTCCTTTTGTCTACTTGAATTTAGAAATGGTAAGTGTATTTGCTTATGTAATAAAAAAAAAATTTTTTTAAAAATGATGCACCAAGGATTTGAATTCAACACAAGTTTTTAATATATTCCTGTGGCTTCATTTCTAGCAATTAAATATCAAAAGAACTTATTTTGCCAGATTTAAATCATTTTTGTTTCACTTGTTAAAAATAAAGTAACAAGATTAAAAATGATCATGTAGAATGAAACTTACTATATTATCTCTAACTGTACTATAATCCATCTTGTATTTATTTAGCACCTTCCATTCTTTTATTGCTACTTTTCAATCCAAAGCAACTGTCATTTGTTGCTATATAACCCCCCGCTCTCTGCTTCTGCCAACAAAAAAAAAATCACAAAATATCTCCCAGGTCTTATATGCAAAGTGAAGCTGAAAGCTTATTCATGTGTTGTAAACTACTATTGTACGTAAACCAACTCCATAATACTGTAATATTAAATATCATTAATCAATATGTGTTAAAATAAACTAATGGATTAATAAATGTATTTAGAAATATCACAAAGTCTGAAGTTTGATCAAATAATAAATACATATTACTTTAAATGTTATTTTTATTGGATACACTTATTTGAGTAGATGCTCCATTTATTTTAAATAGTATTTTATTTCATCTACCAGCCTGCACATTAAAGAAACATGCGGTCTCTAGCAGAATTCAAACCCGAGTTCCCATTTGAAGGCGAAACTGCTGGTTAGTCCAACTTGTTTTAACTGCTCAACTTAAAAGAGCTTCACAGTCAAGCAGGATTCTATTTGCCTTTTAAGCATTCATTGAAATTTCCTAAAAAGTCATAACTGCTAAGTTTTGTATATGGAATGTAAACAAAGCTTGATTTTGAAGCTAATCATAGCCAAGTGGTTAAAGCATGTCAGATTAAATGGTGGTTTCTCCTACAAATGCATGTTTGAATCCTTTCGGAGGACGTATTTTCTTTAATAAGTTTTCTCGAATGTGCAGTCTGGTAGATGAAATAAAATACTGTTTAAAATATATTGAGGATCTACTCAAATATGTGTATCCACTAAAATAACTTAAGTAATAGAAACATGTTCAATTAAAAAAATAATTCTTTTAGAAATTGTATAATTTTTTTCTTTCAAAATTGTATAAGATAATACAGTGAGCTCGTTTGTCTGTAACAGGTCATCTTTCTTCATCTGATCTCATCTTGATGTGCTGAATATCAATGCTTGTGAATTTGCACCACAATTCAAGGATATTACAAATTTGTTTTATCTTGGAATTGTGATAATTTTGGATAATTTAAATATCAAATGAGAGGAAAAAAAATGTATGCCTGATTTATTTGTTTAAAATTGTGAATTAAGATTTTTTTTAATTAAAATCATTCATTAACTTCCTAATCATTAAAATATGATTACATGAAAATATTTCTTTCAATTTTCTTTTATTTATTTATTTATTTATTTTTATATATATATATATATATATATATATTATTATTATTTTTTTTTTTTTTTTTTTTTTTTTTTTTTTAGGATACTTAAAAAGTTTAAGAGTCTTGCTTAATGCAAAAGTTCCTGTCAGTTTGGAAAAGTCACCTAATCCGCCTGTACCCATCGCAGAGAGCATTTTTGATTTGATCATGCGACCTGTAAATTTTGCTGTGTCATCTGGCAACAAACAATTTTGGTTAGTAGACAATGATTTTAAACATAAGTAAAAAAAAAAATGCTTATGGACTTTTTTAAAAGAATTTTTTTAAGTTGTTTGTAGAGAGCATATATTATTACTTCTAATAAAAAAAAATCTAAGTTAATTTTCAGTTACATAAAATAAAGCAACTATTTCAGTTTTTGTCACCAGTTAGTAATAGTTTGGACTGCCTAATTCCACAAATTGTATCAAGCGAAGACAGTCTTTATTTTTCAAGAAAACTACTCATATTTTTAGGAAGTTGATTAGAAAGCATCTCATAACTTTTCAAACCATTAATAAATCTTTCTTTTCTTAGAACTTTTATGTACTTATCATATTTGACAGCATATAAAATGCACAGATGTATAAGACACACACCAATTTCAGCAGGGCAAATCGAGAAAAAATTAGTAGTTAGTAAAATTATTAGTAAATGGTACAGCCCAGGCTATATTTCTGAGGTATTAGTTTGGTTAAACAAGCCATGATTACAATTAAAGAAAAAAATAATAGGAAAAAGAATACGAGCTTATATAAACTTTTATATCCAATGGTTAAAAAAAAAAAAAAAATCAAGCAGTTATTACCATTGAGCAAAACAGTACAATTACCATTAAAATTTTATTCATCTTCAAATCTATAAAATTTGCCGTCTTCGTTATCTTCGTTATCTTCGTTATCAAAACTGATACTCATTTTCAATACTACTATCATCATCATTAAATAATGCGTCATCTTCTATTCCATTAAGAACATTGCTAATGACACAGTTTTTAAGATTTCACAACAATTTCTGGGCTATTATCTCAAGCTTGCTTCACCCATTTGCAGACTTGTGCAATGCTGAGTCTTTTTATTCTTCCTATAAATGTAATGTCATGCCATCCACATTTTCCATTGTTCCTTCATGTTTTGCTTGAATGGTCTTTTCAAAGACACATCCAGAGATTGCAACTGACTCATTAGTCCACCAGGAATAACTGCTATCTTTGTCTTCAATTCTGCCACTTTCTTTTTAATGGTTTAGGTCCTATATGCTCAGAACTGATTCCATACAACTCATAGCCATAACTGCAGACCAGTTTCGTCCATCCAGCCTTTTGGATGAACATGACCATGCATACTTTTTGGTATTTTATCTTTTGGTGTAGTTTTTCTCTTAAAAATTGGAAAAGAGGCAGTTTTGTGCCATCAGCACAACATGCAAGTATAATAGGTCTTCTCATGGTTTGTGTTCTTTAATGTAGTAGTCTTGGATCCCTTAATACTCACAGTTTTGTTTGATTGAACATCAAATGTTAGTAGGACTTCATCCATATTTTCTATCTGGCCTAGTTCAAGAGTTCTTTTTTAAGCATGTATAACAAATTTATGAAACTTTACTATTTTGCCATCATAGTCAGTAGGCATTCTCTGTGCAATTGATGTTTTTGTATGCATTGACAAACCTTCTCGTTTCATAAAACAATAACACCACCCTTCTGTTCCTACAAAGTTTTGAATCCCCTTTTCATTCACTAATCTTCTAGCTTCATTCCTTATCATTTACAACCCATGTTTTAATTTCCTCTTCAATTTCAGGCCAGTGTGGGGCTGGGTGGCGAAGGTTAGTTTCCTTTCGTAGGTTATTTTCCTGCAACTGCTAGTAACATAATTTTTTCTGTAAGTGGAGAGCCAAAATATTTTGCAGCTGCTCTATTTCCATGCTCTTTAGCATAGTTTATTACATGAAGCTTGTACACAACAGTGTAGCTTAACTTCTTTCTTGCTGTTGTCATATCTGAAGGAGTGAAATTCAGCCAAAAATTTTCCTTTATAATATCTGTACAACCTGTGTCTTTTAAACGTCTTAGTGGAATAATTAGGATATAATAATTCTTATTGTATTTATACCAATAAATTTGAATTTATTGCATATAATTTTAGTGAAACAAAGTACTAATATTAAACATGATGAAATTAATATAGTGAATATTATCAATGATAACACTTTTAATCTGCATAATAGCCTTTTAAATAATGACAATCAGTATATGAAACTTACTTTAAAGTCTAACCTAATAGGAGTTTCCAGGTAGCTAATTTTGGCTATCACAAATTTTAAACCTACATATGGCATATAAGACACAGGGGAATTTAAAGGTATTTTTAGTAAAGAAAAAAAAAAGTGCACCTTATATGCTGTCAAATATGGTAGCTTAGTCCAAGTAAACCAGAACAAGTTTGATACTATTGAATCTTATGTTTCATAAAACAAATTATTTATTGTCTTAAATACTGCATTAAATAATTTTTCAGAAAGAGAAAAAAATTATTACAGACTGTTCTATTTTGGGAAATCTATGATTGTGCTGTTATTTTTCATTAATTTCTTCTCTTTTTGGAAAGTGGTTAGAACATAATCTAATTTCTGGAATGAAAACTTATTATTTACATGATTTACATATTGTCCTTATTTTTGTTATTGCATTTACAGGGAAATGGGATTGTACTCAAAAATATGAGTAACTGAACAATGATATTCCAACTATCTGCACCTACAACATTTAGTCTTGTACCAAACTTATTCTACAAGGAATGATTATTTCATTTCTACGAACTTATTCTAAAATTTGTCAGCATTAAATGATCCGTTGAAGTTGATGTGCCAGAAAAAAAAAAATTTACAGGAAGGTTTGAAGTAAACCCTTTATTTAATCTACAGAAGATTGTTCTCATTCTGCTGACCATGTCTCGGGATATCTTGTATAGTTCTTATTTAATATTGCTCAATTATTGGTAACTCTGTTTCAGCATGATCGAACTCACAATTACTCTATCATCAAATTCATGCACCAATGCTTCAATCTACTAGGCTATTGTCTCATGGGACAATCCTGAATCTAGAACTTGGAGCCTTAAGCATACTCAGCCCACTGCTGATATTGCTGCTGTTACTTGTCATAAGTGATTGCATTCACTGAGGCTTCTCTTTTCTTACTGCTGCTGCTTTAGAGGCTTTGCTGTCTTATTTTTATTTATTAATGGCTCACATATTGTATTTATTTCTATGCTAGGCCTACTGTGGAGGTCCTTGTAGCTTAGCATATATCCTGATTCGTTCAAACATGTGACTCTCCAGTGTTCTTCTGTTTTGTATTTTTACTTCATTCCACAGGGGTTGGTGACTATCCTTTTCCTTCCATATATGATCAGCCATACTTGATTTCATCATTTCACCTCTATTTATAGCTTTTCAATCTTCCTTCAGCTTTACATTTATTCCTAAGCATGAGCAGCAGAATAAGAACACTCTACCATACTTTAAAATTCTATGAAAGTTACTGGGATCAACAAGTACCTGAAAATGCTAGAGTGCACAATGTCTGAAAAGTTGTGATAGCAACAAAGATGAGGACAATATTTGGAATGTAAATAAGGATATATAATGCATGAAATCTGAATGCAGTTTTTTATAAGACCTTGCTTGAACTGGAGTTTTCTCATCATTTTTAATACTACTCTTATTGTTCTTATCCAAATTGTTTTTTAACAAACTTTACAGTGACATACATTGGAAAAAAAATGAATTCTTCAGAAATGAGAAAATCATGGCAAAAGGAAGTCTTGACTATTTGTGTTTTCATTTGACAGCACAAGTGTTCTTGGTGAGGTCTGCCGTGAATTGTTCTGTCCGCCCCACACTCAGCAAATAGAAAACTTTCTGTTACCAGCAATGGCATATGGAAAATATCCATTCCCATTTGTAGAGCTGATTCAAGCCCTCATTGATAAGACTGCTGAAAAGAATGAGACAAGAGCTTTCTATGTTAGAAAGCAACCAGATGGTAACACAAAACTGTTTCCAGACCCTACTCCTTGGCTGTTGTATGCTGTACTGGTGCTTGGAAAAAATTATATTCGTAAGGATTTTACTGTTTACTTCTCTCTTTTTCTTCTTTTTTTGTGTTTGTTTTGATGTATGGTTGATATTTGTTTACACAATTATTTATTATCTCTTCACCTCTCTCAAGCTCAATGTTTTGATTAATCAGTTTAGATATGGAATTCTTTTTGCAAGACAAATTTTAAATGCTAAATAATTTGTACATTATATTTGACAGTGTATAAAACATACATTATTTTGTTTGATTTAATATAAAAAAAAATAACTTTCTTTATAAGCCAGTATTTCATCTTGATTATCATACTGAAACTTATTTCTGAGTATTATGAACTGAAACTGTAGTACTTAGGCTCATATGTCATCAAATATGACACCTTTATTTTATTGTGAATAGAGCCATATTATCCCTTAGACATGTTTAGGTTGTAACCTAGAGATCCTCAAGCTTTTATAAAGCAATGAATTTAATTTTCTGTATAACTTCTAAATAGTTCATAAACTGAAATGATATGAATATGACAAACTCATATTTAGGAAGCAAGGCAAGGAAAACAATGTTTTAGTTTGTGTCATTGTGTTTTAAGTAGATAACCTATTTGATTTTAGTTCAGAATGTTTAAATCTTATAAATTTTTATAAAGGAGTGATGTGTGTGTTTTTGGTTTTTTTATAATTCTAGTTATTAGTTATAAAAATCTATGGGCAGGTTAGAGGGTGGCTCCATCTGGGGGGGCATAATTTCATTAGCCTAAAAGTCATGATCTTGCTTGTGGATAAAAACTGTTTTATTAGGAAAGACTTGGAGCTAACGTGTTTTAAAAAGTATATGAACTAATAAAACCATTATCTTAAGCAATGTTCAATCTTATCACTAAGCTTAGTAGAGAAAGAATTTTATTCTTTCATTAACAAATTTTATGACTTCACTGACGCCAAGGCATAATTTAAGATCTGAAAAATTCAACATTTAAAAAATAAATATTTATAGAATTTATAAAAGTTTGGGTGAAAAATTACTACTCTCACTTTTTCCTTCAATGATTATTGAAATCAAATGTTAAATTCCTTGTTATAAACATTACTTGCACCCATATCCTCTCCCCCTGATAAAAAAACAGTTAATAAAATGTGTTTTTCTTGTTACTAAATCTATAAAAAGTATCATCTGTTTAGTTTGGATTTTTGTGGTTGGATGTTTTTATTGGCCTTTGCTTCAGTTTTCAATTCATGTGTGTACATCAAGAAATTTGTTGCCTAACATTTTATGCAACAAATATTTTTTTAACATAATCTTCTAAGTCAGTATGCTTAATTCAATGGTGAATGTTGATCACATAAATTGGATGTTCTTTTATGTGCCAAGTTTTTTCAGGACATAGGCAATGATGACTCTCTACAACTGTCTTTTGTTGCTCTAAGTAATTTTTCTGCCCTTTACTATACTGCTTTATCCTTGTTATGCATTCAATCACACTAACTCATTAAGTTACTTACATTCCATTTCCTCTTGCATCTTTATACATATCTGATGATTATTAAATTCCCTAGGCCCTCATTTCTCCTGTGTGCCAGAAATTTGATCAGTCTCTTTGTGATTGTAAGTATACGTTTCTTTGCAGTTAATGTTTTCCTTATGAATTCCTCGTAGCTCATATTCTCTGTGCATGATATTTTTAGCATTCATTGGTAGAACCAGATGGCTCTTCTTCATCTGAGGAAATTGTCCAGCATTCCCTGTTATAAAGATTAGATATTGTGTAGCAGTTCAGCACTATTTTCTTTTTTCTTTTTAATATTTTCCTAATAAACATTTCAGACCCAAATTTAGTTAAATGCATATCAAGCTGCAGATTTATTGAAGTGCCTTTTTGTGTGTGTATGTGTGTATCTCATGTGCACAAATACAAGTGTTTGGTATTCACTAGATTTTTTTTTTTTTTTGTTACAGAAAATCTCACAGCTCATCAGACATATATGTATCTAATGATGCTTCAAAACCTTGTCCCTACACTCCCTCTGCCTCGACTTCCAAATCATGAAGATGCTGACAATGATGATGATAATGATTCAGATTCTGAAGATATGATTGTGGACCCAGAAGTAAAAACAAATTTTCTTTTTTTTTTTTTTTTTTTTTTTTTTTTTTCTTGTTTCATGTTAACATTAATTTTAACTCCATTCTCTTTTATGAATATTATTAATCTGTCTTATCTGCATGAGTTTTAACTGGGGAGGTTAATTTTATTTCCAATAAAATTATTCACTAGCTCAAGCTTTTTCTTTGCAAAAAAAATATTGCAAAGGATGCTTTACACTTTATAATCCCTTTAGATATCATTGTGTTAGAAACTTGATCTTATTTATCTGCATGTTATGAACATTTATTTCAATGTATTAGAAATATTTATTTTTAAATTATCTTAATTTGATATTAAAAGATATATACTTTGCATTCCAGGAGAATGACGTAGCTTCTCAGGAAAAATTGCGTGAATCCTGCCTTCAATTTCTTGATTCTGTGTTTCTTGCTCGCCGTATCATTATCTGCCTCAGTGAATTGCCAACACCTAATGTTCTTGTGGCCATCTGCAATATATGCCACAGTCTGATGTGTGATCAAAGAATACCCATTCATAAATTAAGGTAAATTTGATTTGAATCTCTTTTTTCTTTATTTTAAAATTTTATTTTTTTTATCCTACGTAAGTTAATAATAACTTTGATGGGGGGAAATAAGCAATTTCAAAGGTAATATAGTTTTTATTTTAATCATTGGTACTTCACTCTCTTAAAAAAAAATGTTTGTTTTATATTCTTAAATTCAGTGTGATGTGCTTACTAAATAGATTTTGGCCAATTTTTATGTTTAAACATATATAAAAATAGTAAGTACTATATTACGGGATCTGTTAATTAAACAGTTACTTGCATTAGTAGTAAAGTTTTCTGATTAATGGTGATTATATTTTATTTCATCATAATTTTAGATTATTGTATACCTTGGCATTCAATGTGGATTTTATGAAACGGTTATGGCTGGAATGTACTTTAAGGTACTCTATATCAGTTAATGGGTAAGTCATTGCTTTTATTTCTTTCATCAAATTATTAATTAGTAATATTTTCATTTTAACATTCTTACACAAAAGTTAATAACATCTTAATTTTTAATGCTATTAATTTTTAATAAGTTTTTTTTTTTTTTTTGTAACACTCTAAAACATTTCAGTCCTAGTAATTATAAATGTATTGGATTGAAAAGTTATCTACATTTGATATATCAGTTGTGCTATTTAAAATGTGTTGTATAACTTGTAACACAAAAACTATATACTGTCTTATTTAGCATTTAAAAATTATAAACTTTATATATGATTTGAAATTGTAAAATATTTTAGAATCCTTATTGATTCACTTATAAATCTTTGCTTAAGTATTTTCTGAAAAGGATGATAGGGAATTTGTATGCTCAGTTTCATTATTTCTTTATCACAATTTCTGCCACTCAACTGTTAGTATTGTTTAAATATTTATGATTTGATTACGTTTTTCTTTTTCTTTTACAAATTCAATCGGGTATATTCTTAATCCAGGATGCAACATTTATTGTCTGGCCTACTAACATTTACTCAGACCATACGTTACCAGTACTTGTATCTAGCCTGAGTCCATAATCCTATAATGCTAAACATAAATAAGGGGGTCTTATTTGCCATCATATATGGTACTAAGTTGTTTAGCTTTGTACAACACAAAGATACAGATGCAAAACAGTGAGGCTCACACTCAGTCATAGCAATGATCAATAGTCTGCTACACTAACTTGCACATTATTTCCCCACAGCAAGATGCCTATCAGATGTTGTAGTATGGGTTCTTGGCTAAAACTGAAATAATGAAGATGAATGATCATGTACAAAACTTGAATAGATTGTAATTTTTTCTCATCTTGCAAATATGAAAATACTTTCCTCCATATAAAATATATAAATCTGCTAAATTTTCTATCAGAACCAAGACAGCACTTATCCACATGTTGGCTCGAGGCATCTCATTAGCAGAGAATGATGTCCAGGTTATTGTTCCTCTTCTTTCTGTGTTCTGCTCTGCATTCAGCCATTCTCTTCATACTCTGCATGATTCAGAGTTTTATGGAGATATTGAAAGTAAGTGGGTTTTTCTTTATAAAATTTTAATTCTTTAGTGAACAAAAAATTTCCTTTTCTCAAAATCTTATTCTACTTTTCAATAATACTATACTAAGATATTACTTTTTGACTTTCTATTTAGGCTCTTATGTTGTGCTTTTTAATGTTGAATTAAAACCTTTGTATTCTGCCTTGTTCTTTCAACAAATGTAATTCATCTGACTTTTAAATGACAACTTATAAGCATGTTTATTTCTAGTTTGACTTATTTTATAATGGTTAAATTTGATAGATCAAGAATTAATTCTTAAATTTGCCAAATTTAGTGTTCATTTCTGAGGAATTAAAATGAAAATTTTTATTTAAGTAATTTTTTCATTGATAGGTTTTTTTTTGTTTTTTTTTTACAAATAGCTTCAATCCCACCTGAATTTAAAGACACTCATTCAGAACAATCTACCAGTATGCCTTTCTCCCTCAGCGAATTGGTGCCAATGAGCTTGACTTTGCGTGATGCATGCCTTGGAATCATCGAATTAGCTAATCCTGAAGCCAAGTTAGTTATGAATAAAGACTATCAACAAGCTCTCAATAAAACTAGAGTCTCTTTTAACAGTGAAGAAAATTCATCGAAAAATCAACCACATCTTTGGCGACACTTATTTAAGGTAAGATAGGCTTATTTCTTTTCAGAAAACATATTTTATTTTGGTAAGCTTATCATTGACATAATATTTCTTCAATTTTCATGTTTTGAAAAACATTTTTAGCTTTCAGCATACAAGTTCTGAAAATTTGTTTTATTTCTGTTAAAGTCTGAGATATATATATATATATATATTATATTAGATTTTAACAGAAATACAAGAGAAGAAATTTATGATGCTTGTAACAAAATATTTCTATTGCTCATACATGTTTTTACCCAAACAATATCATGGATGTTTTACTGCATATTTTATCTTATATCAAATCCATAAAGTTTTATTTGAAGAAACACAAATGTTTTTGTTAGATTCTGTTGTTCGTTTTTAAATCATGCTGCAAAATTAATAATACCTTAATGATTCCGACTATTTTATATAAGATTTCATATGTATCAAGTTATTAGCGATTTCAGTCTGCTACAAATATACAGGCTAGATTTTAAACTAAATTGCTCTAAATTGAGAAAAACATTAATTTTAGAAAATTGTTTCTAATAGAATCTTATCAGAAACCTGATTAGCCTGATAATTGTATAGTTATATATTACTAGAGAAAATATGTTTGAGTAGTTACCATTTCTGCTAAAATTTATAAATTGTCTGATCAGTGCAAACATTAAAAAGATCATAATTATAAAAATAAATGAAAATGGCAAGCCTTTGTGATGAGAATATTCTGAATATTGAACCAGTGTTGTATGGTTTGTATGGTAAGTGTTATCAAAGCAAAACAAACAATTGAATAAATACTGTTGTTTTTAAAACTATAGAACTCTTGTGGAGTATACAGCTACAGTATCACAACACTGCTGCTGTGGTTTTCATAGCAAGTAGGCTTTTCTGGGGTAGGGTTGCTAGCTCAATACCCAACCAGTTTTAAATTCAACGTTGTCCTTTTTGACTGGTTACCAACCAAATTTAGAGCCAAATCTTCCCTGCTATTAACCCATAGCTGGAAGGACAAGATGGCTTTATACCTTTCCCAAGAATATTTGTGTGAAAGTGAAATACAACAATTTCAACTGGAATATGAACTCTGATCACACATTCCAGTCTGATAACTGCTATGCTATATGCGCATCGAATTGAAGAAATACAATAATATAAATATGTAAAAACAATATACTTTTGTAGAACTGATATCTGATCTTGAGAAACATTACATTTTTCTGAGTACTGATCACTCAAACATTGAAAATTTTGCAGTCCATCTCAAAGATTGCAGAAGAATGCTGACAATTGATGCACACCATGGTTAATAACCAAAAAAAAGTTTACCAAGGCTACCTGTTGTATATTATTCCTGTTTTTTATTAGTATTAAATAACATTGCATTCTTTTAATAGTCAATATCTACTCTGGTGAAGCAGTTACACTCGAGAGATACCCGCCGTCAGTTTTGCCCTCCTCATCATTGGCTAGCCGACCATGTACATGTACGTACGGATAAGGTAAGTTTTTCAGAATTTACATAGTTAAATTTTTTTAAATTTAAAAAAAAAAAAAATTTTTTTTTTTTTTTTTTACTTGTATAATAATAGACGTTTTGCCTCATTATATAAATTCATTGAATAAGGCAAAAATTAAATGTTCTAAAATTTGATCAACAATCAGCAAATTGTTTACCACTATGTAAAAAAAATTCAGATGGAAAATTTATGGTTTTAATCAGTGTTATTATTTTCTTAGAAATCATAAATTTTTATAAGATAATTGTACTTTTCCTAAAATATTTAAAAATCATTGTATTATACATATTAAAGAATGTTAAAAATTTATTTCCAGATATACAATTTAAACAATATAAATCATTCAGGCCAACAGCATAATTCACCATTCATAACAAGTGAAAGTGGTAAGATGTTTTTTTTATGTTTATTAAATTTGTATTTGTAAAAGCTAAAAATATAATTTGCATTTTCATTTTTGTATTGCCATTTTTCGAATGATCATAAAAAATAATAAAAACTGGCCTATTTATAGAATTGAGTTTATTTAATATAATATTATTGTAGTTAATTGATTTAAAATCAATTAACCATCAGTGATTCTTAAAATAAAACATTTTTTTTCCGTTAGCCTGAAATAGAAATTCTCTTTTGTCTTCATGTTACATTTGTACTGAGGAATCCTGCATTATTGTATTTTATATTAGGGTACACTTTCATTTATTAAACAAATCAGTTTTAACCATATGTTTTGAGAAATATTATTCATTAGCTTCAAGTAAAGATTTTTAAGTTAACACATGCATCTTCATTTTTTGAAAAAAAAATCACTTTGTTTTAGATTTTCTTAAAATGTCATCCAGATGATCTTCAGATTTTTTTTTTTTTTTTAACAATGATGCTATATACAGCATTGCTCAGTTCTTTGAAGACATTTGCATGAATTTAGTAAAAGACACAAAAGTCATAAAAGGACTTCATTTGATAAAAAAAATTGGCATGAATAATTTTGAGATCTTTGATACAACTACTTAATGAATCCACTATTAGAATTGATAACTGTTTCACTATGAGGTCTGAAATGTTGTCATGCACAAATCAGATGATCTTTATCTATTTTGGACATTGTGCTAGTTATGACAGACTTCTGAGATTTTATATTATTATGGGGACATTGATTGACTTCTCTTGACTACACTTAATAATCCAATAGATTCAGGTCTGGAGAGTGATGTGATTGTAAAGATTGTAACTCTTCCATTCTTGGGTCATCTTGGACTTATGAGATGATACAAAGTTTTGTTAAGAGGTGTATGACTTCCTTTGCTCATGCTCTCCACCCAAGGTCTCACAACCCTCTCCAACATCTTATAGTCAGCAGCATTTACTCATAAGCCCTGGAGAAAGAGGTGAGGAGGTGTGAAATCTCCCTCATTGCTCATGACTCCCAGAACTGTCACAGTTGCTGGAAACTTAGGGGTCCCAGCATAACCATCTGTCATTCCTTCAGTTGATATTTTAGCCCTGATCATCAGAGAAAAGCCAAATCATTCCAGGCTTGATGTCTCAACTTGCTCAACAAGTGCTTTGCATAGATCAGATAGTTATCTTTTGTCTTTGGAGATATGGATTGACTTCTTTGCATCACATATGACTTGTATCAAAGATACTCATACAAAATCCTTGCAATAGAATGTCTTGAAATTTGAGCTCTTTAATGATGGCATTAATTGACTTTCTGGGGGTTCTTATCAATAACTTTTTGCACCTTTCATACAAATTTGGATGTTCTGATGGTATTAGAACCGTTAGCAGGTGTTTTATAATTGGCTACTCCTGTAGAATCCCTGTCAATGGCTTTCAGCTGTTTGCTAATTTTGACAACAAACAACCATGCAACTTTCAGGAAGTGAACAATCACTGAACCACTATTGCTCTACCTTTAAGGCAATGACTACAGTGTGCCTTCCCATTTGCTAAGTTAGCTTGATGTTTGTGATCATTTATCTGAAGAGAAATGATGATCAGAACAAATCAGAAAATGTTAAATGTAATTTGTGTCCTCAAAGAACTGAGCAACCCTATACTTAATTTTGTTTCTTTCTAACATCCTTTTCTTAAACCAGTAATGATTCTCTGGTTTATTACATGAATTTATTTTAATTTTATATAATTAGTTATTGAAGATGGACCACCTTTATCTGGCAGAGAGATCTGGAACCTCATCATTTTAACAGAGCTACCTTTTGTTGTACGTTTCACTGAAAGAGTAAAGGTAAGAATTTTAGTTTTCATTCTTACTAGTTTGTTATAATGATTATTTGATACATAGGAATTAATTGCTGATTAAATTTTGTATTTGTACAGAATGTTTTAATTTTATGAAAGAGCATTAAACTAAATATTTGCAAATTCTCATTTCTGATATAATAAATTACTTTTACAAAGAACTAGGGATTTTTATAATTGCAGATTTTGCATCAATATATTGGGCAAGACCGTGAAGAACACCAGTCAGAAATGGCAAATTTCCAAATGGGTCCCTCCATAAATGTCAAAATTAGAAGAAGCTATATTTATGAAGATGCTTTTGAGAAACTTTCTGAAGAAAATGGTAAATAGTTTTTTGTCATTCTATTGAAAATTAAAGGACATTTGTTTCATGACTACTTCTCTAAAATTAAATCCTTCACTATCCATCTCAGTATTGCTAGTAATTTTAATTAGAGTATTTACAAAGTCTAGTAGTTCATTATCAAGCTGTAAATCATAAGTTCTTCACTATGTAGTCTAACAATTCCATTAATAGAATCATCGTGTCTGTCAAGATACTAGGAAAATAGTTTATAATCATAATACCATATTGGTTGACCTATGCTAACTTTGGTATAAGACAACATTTATCACTAAATAATGAATTCTAGCAAAAAAAAAAAATTACAAAACAGAGAGAGAGAGAACTTGAAAGATTTAATTTTTCAAACCTGTTTTTATACTACTATTCATATATTCATGGAATTTGATCATTAAAAGAAAATTATGTCAACACCACAAACATTTAGTTACTGATTGCAGCAGTTTTTCATGCATTGTTGAACAATCATGTAAAGTAATCCTATGAGCATACGCAAACTCTTGCCTACAATCCATATAGTTGTTTTCCAGTGTCATGCTTGTTGGCAGTCATCCAGAATTCTCATTGCCATCAACAATCATCTGCCCTTGAAGTTTGTACTACAAAAATAAAATTCATAACATTATCACCAAATTATTCTTCAGCTTTCAATAGGTCTCTGCAGTAGTTATATATATATATATATATATATATATATATATATATATATATATATATATATATATATATATATATATATATATAAAGAAAGAACAGTAAGATATATAATCTGGTGTTCTTATTTTATTTTTACAAAACAGTGCTCAATATAAATTTACAGAGCATAAATATTATAAATTAACTGATTTAAAATATGGTTTTTTGCTACCCAGTAATAACTATGTTTCAAAAATGGAAGCTAAAAACTTTAAATTTAATTATATAATTAAATTAATAGCATTAGTTCCATTTCATCTTCAAGAGAATATTGGAATAACTTATTTTTAAATTTACTGAGTTTTAAACACACATAAATTCATAATTTACTGTTTCAAAGGATACAAAGGAATCCAATCATTTAGACAGGGGCTGTAGCATGTTCATTTTTATTAACTGTTGTATCAATTATGAGTTATGTTCAAAAAAAGAGGTTAAGTTTAGGGAGGGTAGGGGTTTATTTTTCAACAAATTCTGAGATCCATTAAATGCATGTCGTCTGGTTTTTTTTTTTTTTTTATTAACGTCAAAAAGTTTTTCGGCATTTTTTTCCTGTATACTCAAAGATTTTTTATGTGTGTTTGTGTTAAAATACGTTTAATTAAACTAAAATTTAAAAATATTTTTACTCTTAATTACTAATAGACTATATTTCTTTTTAAAAACAAGTAAATGTAATATAATTACTTACATTATTTAAAATTATTATCAAATATAAGTATGTATATTACCAGCTCTCATTTTTTAATTTTATTTTTAAATTTTTAGATTTATTTTTAAATTTTATTTAAGGAAAATTTTTGACAATGACAGCAAAAAATAGCCGTCATTTTCAAAAAGGTGAGAGCAAAATTTGGTGCAGTTTCTATGCTCTTTGAAATCTTTCATTTCAGATGAAAATTTGTGTGATCTGTTGACTAAACTGTTTTTGGTACACATACTTACAAAGTGTTGAACCAAAAATTCATATTAAATCTGGTTTGTGCACACACTGTTACCAGATAGAATTTCTACAAGCAAGTAATGATCCTTTAATCAATTTCTAATGTATAGAAAACTAATTTACTTAAGCCCTTAAAAATGATTGCAATGTTTAAGTAATTTTGCAATTGAAGTGTTTATATTTTCTACATCATTAATTTGATTTCTATCTACAATTATCTTTATTATTATTGCATGTAAAAAAGAATTCTGATTAAAAGCATCCAAAGAAACCTCACACAAAGGAAAAGAAATAAAGGGTAATGTTATAGTATCATTGTGTAATGCCTCCTGTGACAGACTATTTCAATAAGCAGGTCCGGTTGTATGATTGACAAATATATAAAATCAAATTGTATTTTATATTATAGAATAGATTATTTCTTCAATAACTCTGTTTATATTTTAAAACTCAGTTTATCTCATGTAGGTTAATAAAAATCTCAAACTAACTTATCCTATGATCTAGAAGACTGTCAGGGTACCATGCTAAGCTTTTCATGGCATTCCTCAGGACAATAGTTACCAGACATTTCCAACTCCTCACTACGTAACAGGCAGTAGATTGTCTTGTGTTATATTGTACCAGTAGCAGAGAGTATTAAGAGAGATGGATTCAGACCTTTTCCACTGTGTTACAACTGCAGCCAGAATTTAAACTGTTAAGACAACTCTGCACCTCCCAATAAAATTTTATTTAGCTAATATCTCTTTGATCAATGCTTCCTAATATTTAGCTATCACACAGTTTTTGTTTCCAACACTGGCCATCCCCTTGCTAGTGAATGACTTTATTTCATAACATTTCATTTTTATTTTTGGCTTTTTAAATCTCCAACAACTGATACTTTTGGAATCAATGTTTGTGATCAACTTAGGCTTACTTGTGCCATGCAGTTTATTCTTTCTTAGAGTTCACTGTAATTTTTATTAATTTTTTTTCTTTTTCAAGTATACACTGGATTATTTCTTTGATAATAAATTTAATGTTTTTTTTTTTTTCTTCTATGAAAGAACCAAACTTGAAATTACGCCTGCGTGTGAGATTAGTTAATTCTGCTGGTATGGATGAAGCTGGAATCGATGGTGGGGGCTTAAGCAGAGAATTTTTGTCTGAGCTTTTGAAAACTGGCTTTGATCCCAACCGTGGCTTCTTCAAATACACCAATGACAAAGTTCTCTATCCTAATCCACAAGCACCAGCCCTTTTCGAAAATTACACAGATCATTATTACTTCCTTGGCAGAATGCTTGGCAAGGTAATATAACACACACACATATATATATATATATATATATATATATATATATATATATATATAATTTTTTTTTTAACTCGTGCTTTTATGGTTACATCCAATATTTTGGAAAATGATGAGTCTGAAAATATTTACAAATTTAAATTACAAAATGCTTAATATTATGGAAACTTGTAATTAATTATGTTATTAACCATTCAAAATATACAAGAAGTGTTAAAAACTTGTTGGCTTGGCCAAGATACTTCCAAAACCCCTTTCCGATTATCATACAGAAACCATTTTCTTTACTGGAATTTGTGCCATCTAATGGATTTTGTTATGTACCTGACAGAAATAACAGGCCATGGCTTGTTGATCTAGGTAAGATTTCAATCATATTGTTTATTCAGCATCAGGTGATCTTGCTGAAGATGATGTAAACCCGCCAACAGAAGAAATTATGCTGTTGATAAATTATCAAACATTTAATTAAAGGGAAAATATAAAAATCATACAACAGCTATGGGACTTTTCCAATCACCTCTTTCTATTCTTGAGTCACTGAGAGACATCTGTCTGTTAAGAAATGCAGAAATGCTAATGATTTAGCAGCGAATAATGTCTACATCAAATTTTTTCTAATACATAAAAATTTTAATTGAAATCAACATGAAATACTTGATAGGTTGCTAAACAAACAAATCCTAAAGTTACTAAAAATCCTGTGGACTTTTGATCAACTCATTACTCATGTGATGCCAACTTCCTTGAGGTTTTGGACTTTGGTTGGGGGTCACAGTTGTGCTGAATCTTACTAAATCTAAATTTAATTTGACGTCAAACTTTTCCAAAGCCCTCCTTATACGTATTTTATGGGTTTAAATTAATATTCTTAAACCAGGCTTCTTTTCCACCAGACTCAAATCCAATTAACCACTCTCCCCTATTTTTTCCTTTTAATATCTCTACTCCTTCATTCAAATTTAAGTTTCTCAATACCTCAAGTTTCCATGCACTCATATGATTCAATTAAGACCACTGCTCTGTTACAACTGCCCTCACTTCTTCATTGTTGAGGTATGATTTTAAGTCATGACCAGGCTCATCTTGGAAATCCTGATCACCAGAAACAAATTTTTGTAACCAACAATGCATGATTCATTCTCCAGTCCCCTAAACACCATTGTTGTTGGCCAAGTTTGAATACGTACAGCATAATGATACTAAAATTAACATTCATCTTTGCTTAGGTGTCCTATGAAATAAAAGATAAAAAATAAGTTATAAAAAAAATTCAACTAACACATGAAAGAAGTCCGATCTAAATTGGTATATTGATGTATACCTAAACAGAATAATATGAAAAAATAATTGTACTAATGCAGTGCAAAAAAAAATAAAGGCCATTTAAGAAATCAAGGTATAAAGCATGCCTGCTGGTAGTGATACTTCATGAGTTAGATTGACAATATTTTCAGTTGCAAAAAATTCACACAATATTTTTTCCACTATGTACTGATACCCACAATATAGAATTGTATATTAGGTTTGTTTATACAATTATCTTCATCCGATGAAGTTGTCATTCATTGTTTTGATCTCATTCCAATTATAAATCCTTATAGTGATCTTTGATTATAAAGAGATTTTCATAAAAAAATTAGATACTGGGAATGATGAAAGAGCACATGAAAAACCACAAGAACGAAAATGAGACTAAAATAATTACTGGAATAATGATTAATCTCAGAATTTCTATATGTGCTTATTTTTGTTTATATTTACTGTTCAAAACTTCTTTTTTTTTTTAAATTTTTTTACAAGAATCCTCCAATATAACTAATATCTGAATTTATATTAAGTTCATTAAAATTTAATTCTTAATGTATATTAAAACATCTTGAAATAATTTATGCTTAAACATCTATAACCTTGTCTATGTTTTACTGCATTGATTTATATTTTATGCTTAATTTCATAATGTTTTATTTTTTCCTTTCATTCATTTCATTTAGGCTATCTATGAAAATCTTTTAGTGGAATTACCATTTGCTCAATTTTTCCTGTCAAAAATCCTGAATCGCCATAGTATTGACCTTGATATCCATCACTTAGCTTCACTTGATGTAGAAATGTACAGGTAATATTTTCTCTACTTTTTGAAAATTTGTAAGAATGAAATTAATACTAATCAATGCAAATTTTTACAAAACAGAACAGGGTCAGTATAATTGTAAGAAAAATTTATTTTACTGTATTTAATTGCTGAATGATGTTTTATACATAAATATATTTTTTCATTATCTGTCTATATTTCTGAGATGAGTTATTATGTACACTATTTACATTCTTCAAAGTAGTCAGACAGATTGGCCCCTGACTCATCCCTAGAAGAACGAATGTAAAGAAAGGGATCATCCACTGCTTACAACACTGAGCAAAAGTCATAAATGGTGACCCAGAGATATTAGATAAAGAATTGGTCAGTATAAGTAGTACCCTACAACGTAACAACTACCCTGGGTACATGGCAGCAGCCCAAAAAAACTGGGATAGGCAGGTACAAGAGGAGGACAGCAACACTCAGAAAACAGTCTGCCTGCCTTATGTGAAGGGGTTATCAGAGAAAATACAAAGGATCTGCGGTCCATATAACATCAGAACAACCTTCAAAAGCTGGACGACACTTCGCAAATATCTCTCCCGAGTAAGACCCCCCCCCCCATACAGGAGAGCATGACTAAAGACTGTACGCTATCCCGTGCAGCTGTGGAAAGAAATATAAAGGGGAGATAGGCCGCCTCCTTAAGGTAAGGCTTCAAGAACACCAGAAAGCTGTAACATGATGGGAAGTAGAAAAATCAGGTGTGGCTGACCACATATGGAGAGAAAAGGGAGATCACCGCCCTCTGTGCAATCAGGTTAACATCATAGACAAAGAACACCATTAGAAAATTTGTTAACTTAAGGAATCAGCACATATGCTAGGCTACAAAAATTTCCTCAGCCAACCAAGCATAGAAATGAATACAATATGGGAACCAGTAATAAATAGTGCCAGAGAAAGCGATAACAACAACAAAAATTGCAATATGAGCACTGGTAAAAACAGATTGCTGAAGACATTAGGTTTATAATACCCAGAAATTCATACACACATGTCCTCAAGGACACATAGCACAGTGGATAAAGGAGTTAGTTAGATCCAGGACCCAAAGAGTGAGTTCAATACCCTGTTAAGTCAGTGGAGAACTTGGAGAGGGGAATTAACAGGAGATAACTGACATGCGTTAAACATGGAACTAGAACAGTCTACCCCAGTGAGCAAAATAAAGGGTTCAGTTTGACATTCCAACCACCTGAAGAAAGCAGGAGTGTACGACAGCTGAAACATGATAAATATGGTGACAAAGATAAGGACAATAGTCTGAAGAATGTAAATACTTTATTTTTTTCATCATTAAAATACTTTACTCTTTTTTTTTTTTTCCTAATTATATTACAGTAATATTCATATAATACTTTTAAAAGCTATTCAAGTTCTGTTTGATTTTCTATTTGCAGTATTTTAAAATGTATCTTGGAGTTAACACTGAATTGCTTTTAACTTTGATTTCTTATTTTGTATTAGCTTTGAGTGGAATCTGTATTCACTTAGAAATTCAATTTGCCTTGTAGTCAAGAATATGCCTTAATTAAATACATTATGTATAAACTTCAAACCCATTCAATGGTAATTTTCTTTCTCATTTTAAGGAATTTGCTTTTCTTAAAAACATATAATGGAGATGTTAAAGAACTTGGTTTGGACTTTACAGTGGTCACAGATGAATTAGGTGTCACAAAGGTAACTACTTCACATTTTCTCCCCTCCACTTTCCCTTTTTAATAATTGCTTGGTGTTGTCAATTTATTACTCTTTATTCAATGCTGATGACTTTAAATATTTTCCTTCCTCCAGACAGAGGAATTAAAATCAGGTGGTCATGACCTTCAAGTTGATAACCACAATCGAATTGAATATATTCATTTGATGGCTGATTACAAGCTCAACAAACAGGTAAATATGAGTGCCCTTGTCTTTTTTTAGTCAAAGGCCTAATTATAATATTTTTTTTTTTTTTTTTTTTTTTTTAGTCCTTAAGAAATAAACTCATTTAAAATATACCTTTTTACAAAGTGTGGAAATATTTCTCGAAAATTATGCCAACTTTGTCAAGTGAAATGATCCATGTTAACACAAATCTAGTTTGACATAGTGTAAAAAAAAAATAAATAAATAAATAAAATAAAAACAAACAATTTTGTAACCAAGGTTGTTAATTTAAATAATCAATTTAAATACTGTTTACTAATATAGATTATTATAACTGGCAAATTATTATACATTTTTAGACTACTCTCTTATTTTTTTAAACTGATTTCTCTACACCCATATTGTATTTTATTTACTTTTTTCCTCCCTTCTATCCTAACAAAAAACTTGCTCTCCACTTATGGAATATAATATCTGAGGATAAAAAAAGCTGAAACCATAAGTTTAACAAAAGAAAATAAATAAATAGTTGATACCATATGATTGGGTATTAAAAAAAAAAATTATGAAATATAAGAATGTCTCAGCTTTAAATGATCCATGAGGTGTTGATAAGCTACAAAACCAAGAAAGTATACCATACTTTTATAAAATAGCAACATATTAGTAACAATTGACTTATTTTTTTTTCTTTTAACTTTTAGATTCGTGCCCACTGTCATGCTTTCCGATCAGGTCTTGCTAATGTTGTAAATTTGGAATGGTTGCGAATGTTTGACCATCATGAACTGCAAGAATTAGTTTCTGGTGCCAATATGCCAGTTAATCTAGAGGACCTTAAGCAGCATACCAATTATTCAGGTGAGTAAAAAATTTTAGTTCAGTATTCAGGTGATACTTAGCATAAATTGGTCAATTATCAAATAATGTTTCTCTGTTGGAGATATCATTCAATAAGAAAAGGTTCATTAAATTGATGATGTTATTCATAGTAGTGGGATAAAAGAAAATCATGATACTCTAACATATTTTTAAAAAATAATCACATCCATATCATTTTAGTGGGGCAACTTTGCATACTCAGTTTATCCCTTGATATATCCTATGCTGTCTTTCAAATTCACAATAACTTTGTTCAAAAAGTTTCAAATCTTTTATATTTCATTGAAGTCAATTTATTCATCACCAGACAAGTTATTTTTTTTCTTCCTGCAAGCATACATGCTGTGTGTAAGTAAATATATATATATATATATATATATATATATATATATATATATATATATATATATATAATTATTTTAAAAAAAAATATGATTCCTTCGCTACATAAGAGTTCTCGTTTCAAAAATGAGGGCCGAAACCCTCAATATAATTATTAAAATTAAATTGAATTAAGGTATCAAGCCCTGTTTCATCTTCAAGCGAAAATTTAGGAATAACCAATCTTGAAATTTACACATCTTTATAAGCATGTTCGCTTGCAAAATTAATTACTATGGAAACGGCTGGGGCGACCATTTTGATAGAGGGTCTAACAGTTAATTTTTATCCACATATCAATCACCTTCTGAAAGAGGTCAAGCTGAGGTAGGGTGGGGTATCCATTTCAAAGTGGATGATGGCATTCATGTACACAAGAACTCTTATGAAGCGAAGGAATCATATTTTTTTTTAAATTATAATTTAAGCTCTACTTCTGTATGGAGCACTATTTTTTAAAAATAAAAACAAAAATACTAAAGAACTCCGGATTATTTACCTAACATGTTCTTTTCCTATTTTTCTACATACCTGCACACACACACATATATATATATATATATATATATATATATATATATATATATATATATATATATATAGTGCCTTGGAATTCACAACAAAATACACCTATTGTCACATCCATAAAAACAATTATTGCTAATATTATTTTGTTGTCTGTGTATTGAACTTATGCTTGATGTTCTTTGTTTTTTTTTTTTTTTTTTTTTTTTTTTTTTTTTGGTGTTACATTCTTAGAACATTTTCTGCTGACAGGTTTTTATCATTTTGTATTCTCTATTACAGGTGGTTTTACAGCTGAACATCCTGTGATAGCAATCTTTTGGAAAGTTGTTCAAGACTTAACTGACCCACAGCGGCGAAAACTACTGAAATTTGTTACCAGCTGTTCTAGACCACCACTTCTTGGTTTTAAGGTATGTTTGTTTAGTTGATGGCTTAAGTAGGTGCAATTATTATTTTACAAACAAGTAATAAGTTTAAAAAATATTTGTTCTTCAGTCTTCTCAAAAGAAATCCATGTTTGTATTACATATTTTAATGTAATATCATTTCAAAATCTTAGAAACATTTCATTAAAAATGCTTCAAACCATGATACTAAAAACATCTTGAGATTAAAATGTGATAATTATTTTCTGTAAAATGTTGTTGGCACATAAAGTGCTAAAGCTTAGATTAAATATCACTCCTGCAACTATTAATACTTCTTCATATGAATGACTAAATTATAGAAAAGTATTTAATCTTAATGGTTAACAGCAAGGATATTGAAATCAGGGAGTCAAGTTCAGATTCCAACTGAAACAGTTTGTGTTCACTTGACAAAAAGACCATTAGGAAAAGTGTGAATCTATTTCTTCTTCCTACCTCAATCTATGTATAAAATAGATGGTCAAACTGGGCTATCTAACCTTGATTGACAACCAGTTTGTCTCTTCATCCTCAGGAGTGGAATCTGGTTTGAGTAAAAATATTAAAAACTATTAGGTGGGTATTACAATTCCATCTTGTAAAATCCTAGTTGCTCAAATATGATCAGCATGTTACCTGAAGGACCAATTGGATCTAAGATCTTATTTTGCCACATTTGATATTTCTATGTTGGGGATTCATTTGTATTAACCTGCTTGAAAAACTAAAGCAAGTAATGTTAAATGTATAATCTGTTTTATCTTGTGTCTTTGTTTCATATCAGCAACATTGTTCTGTATAAGCATAACAAGATTCAATTGCTGTGAACTCTTTATGTATTTTAATGTGATAACAGCATATTAAGGAAAGACCACAAACAATAAACAATAACAACTTTAGTTAAAAATAATTTTCTTTTTATCATTTTAGGACCTTTACCCTGTCTTCTGTATTCACAATGCTGGAAATGAATCTGAACGTCTACCTACAGCTAGCACCTGCATGAATTTGCTCAAATTACCAGAATTTTACAATGAAGAAACTATGCGAAGTAAACTACTGTATGCAATAGAATCTGGTACAGGATTTGAACTCAGTTAAAACAGTACAGCTTTCTCCATTTGAAACATTTCATTTCTCTTGACTCCTGCTGGAAACTTATAAATTGAAGTATTCATCCGGTTAAAACAGATTTCATCCTTAAGTCTTTATGAAAACACAGCAATTGTGAAAACTTAGTGAATTTGAGACTAAAACTGCTATACATGTTTGGTTTTGGGCTAAATCTATTGAAACCTTTCATGAATAATCTATTAAACGTTTCATTCCTATCTTTCAGTTATTTAAAGTTTAAACTTTGTTTTAAGCAGAAGTTTTTAAAAAATGACTTATTTATTTAATTATTTTAGTAGATCCTTCTCTCTCTCTCTCTCTCTCACATTTGTAGTACTGTTAGAATTTGATCATTTATCCTTCTGCTTCCTTACTTTAAAACACTAATTCAAAATTCTTTAGTTTTCTTTGTATTTCTAATTTAAAAGATAATAATAATAATAATAATAGTAAGGGAACAATATGAAAGCATTTTTATCGAAAATATTTAATTTTTTCTTTCTGTTAAGAGTGTAATGCTAGCAACTAAGTTTGCCCAGTTAATTTGCTCCTCAGTTTTTTGTCACAGACTAAATTGTCTTTCTGGGTAATTTTTGGTTATAGTTTATTACCTGAATGTCATATAATTTTACAATTCAAATAAAAAGTACAAATAAGCAACATCTTGTGATTTCATTACTAGTTTAATGAATGTTTAGAGAAGAAAAAAAAGGAATAATTTAAAAATCTCTTCAAAATTTATAGCAAGTTATATGAAAATCTGTTATTCTGCCACAAAAAATTTTGGTTCCTGACATCCTTCATATTTTTTTAAGTCTTTGTTATATTGAATACTTTGCTTTATAAACACTGCACATTCATAAAAAGTAACTATAAAATCAAAAAGTGAGATAAAGAATTTGAAATTTAGGAAATTGCTAAGATATTAACCATGCTACAATTGCTAGGTTTCTCTTAAACTCACATAATCTAACAAAATCTACAAAAACATTCTTATGCTAATTTGTGTGACAAGTTCCAATGAACTCTGAACTGAAAAAGATAGTTTTACACTAAGAACCTGATACCTACAAGATATACAGTTATTTCTACTGTTGCTATAAAAGTCTAACATAAAATAAATCTATCACTTCCTATTTAACCTTTTTTTTTGTTTTTCTATTTTTCATACTCCAATACTTTAGAAGTGGCGCTTTCTTCACTTTTTGCTTACTTGTGAAAAAAATTGGAAATTAATTTCTTAAAGATCTTCATTTTCAATGAATCAACTTGTTGTATCATGTGATAATTGAATTGGTTGGACTTAGATCAACTGTGGAATGTATGCACTGTATTTACTAATGGTATTCATATAATTGTAAGCCATGAGCATTTTTACCCATGTTGATAATAAAAAGGTGATTTTTATATATATATATATATATATATATATATATATATAAAAAATATTTAAAGCATTTCCTTTCCTATTTTCTTCTATAATGCTATATTGATGCTGGCATGAAAATAAAACCTTTTTTTCTTTTTCAGATGTCCTTATCCTAAAATGAAATTTGCACGTGCAACTGAAATATTTCATGATATAATTTTTTTTATATATGCGATAAACATATATGCATAATACGATGATGAAAGTACGTTATTTTGCTACTTTCATGGCCAAGGTGGTTTCTATCAATGGAATTTTATGTTAAAATTGATAATTCTAATTTATTAACAATGCTGTTAGAAATTACCTTTCTAAATTAAATGAAATAGTGGGAAATTTTTTTTTTAAGATAATGATCTCAGTGATAAAATATATCTGTCAAGAATTCTAATTCTTTGGCAAAAAAATTATCACCTGCCTATGCAATCATGACATGTTGAAATTAAAGCTGAAAGAAATTTATTTTAATTTACATCTTATTGTGTGGAATAACAGAATAATCTTTTACAGAAATATAAATTTTTATTAAATTTAAGTGAGTTTTAGAATTTTGTGCAATTGCTGAGAAAACAGTTAATGCAGTTTTTTGTGCCACTCAGTTTCAACCTAAAAAAAACAAACTTTTTTGTCTCTTCACATTCAAAATACAAAATAACAATCTATACAGAAATGTGATATTGATTAGGTTCATGCTAATTCATAGCAAAGCATTTAGAATGAGAAGCCTGGTAAATTCATTATACTTAACTGTTTTCGACCTATCAGGAAAGTAGAATTTATGATCTTTTACAGTTGTATAGGTTTCTTGAAATTTTTAAAAGTTTAAATTGGTGTGACAAGACTGATAAAAAGCTTTATTTTTCTCTGTAGATACATGACATCCTGTATTATGTATTTAATAGTTATGTCCTGTCAGTAACATTCATGACCACAAGCAATTTTTTTCTTGATTTTTCATTTGACAACACAGTGCTGATAACTGCTCAAACATAAAGGTAAAAATTTGTAGAATTCTGTATCTTTTTTTTTTTTTTTTTTTTTTTTTTACAATAAAAAAAACTTACAGCTCAGCAGAACAGTAAGTGTAATGTGAGTGGATAGTTGATAAATATAATCTCCAATAAACTACAGAGTGAAGAATCAAAACTTGAAAAACTAGTATTCTTTGAAATTCACTTATGCATAAATAGCCCTATTAATACAAAACTATATTAATAAAACTCAGATAATATCAAAAAAATAATTTATTCAATGTGACTTCCATTAATTTCAGTTGACATGACCTAAAGAAATCTGCAGTTCTTAACCACAAAGTCTTTGGGCATCTTGGCCCACTTCTTGATGGCTACCTTGAGAGCATTGGTGTTCAGTGTGGGAATTCTTGTTGACAGCCTACTCTAAAATCACATAGTCTATCAGATTCAGATCTGGGCTGGTGGAGGGTCAAAGATCAGCAAAATGAGCTTTGCAGATCTTATGCACTTTCCTGGCTAGGGGTGATGTCTTAAGTTCACAAATAGTTACACTGATTAGTTAGACTTGAGCCATGAAAAAACCTGGTATCTCGGGACCTTGTAGAAGGCATCAGCATTTGCCTTTTCTTCAAGCTTACAGAGAAATGGGTATTTTTTTTTTTTTTTATTACCATGATGCCCAGGTATATGATCTGAGCTGGATCTTTGTAACTACTGGTCATTTCACCAGTTCAAAACAGCATCCAATGTGAAGATTTTCACATCAGAAAATATTTTAACAGTGGACCCATAATTCTTGAGGTACCTAAATACTTTTGCACCTTTCCAGTCTCCTGGCGTTCATGGACCCCATGAGCAGATCCTAAGTTGCTCTGTATTTTCTTGTTTATGTTCAATAGTTTCTAAATATTAAAATAAGCAAATAATTTTGTATTCACCATTGAATAATTAAGGAATTTTAATTAAAATATTGTAGCAGATGGCGTGTCTGTAGTGTCAAGATTTACTGATGGAGTTTAAAATTTTAAATTTGGAAGTTAGTGTATATAAAACAAAATAGACATTCTGTAATCAATACAATCTTATTGAAAGTCCTCACAAGTGAGAAATTAAGAAACTCAGAGTTGACCACCAATAAGTATTTAATATATTCAAAAATGAAAGTCGAGAGTAAAAAAAAAAAAAAAAATCTAATCAATTCTGGTAAATCTCATCAAATAAAACTTATTAAAATATTAATTGCCTGTATGTTGTCATTTTTTTTTCTACTTTGGAATTTCCACTGTTCTGTTGGAACTCTGACACTACTTGAAAGGTGTACAATAACTACTCCTGCTCCAGCACAAACCATCTTTGACAAAATTTCCTTACAAAACCCACTCAAGAAAACTAATATACAAATCTTTTAAGCCATAATTTTTATTTTTATTTGTAGTTTATTTAACTCTTTAAGATATAAAATGTATTTATTAACCATTTCAATTTGGTTTTGCACAGACAATTTTCTAATGAATTCATGAGACCTTCAATACACTTTCTACTTAGATCCAACATATTTTTAAACAGTTTTTAAGGGGTGGGACAAAAATGTTTCAAAAGCAATGTGCAACAAACCACATGGATTAACAAATATTTTTTTGGCCATATTCCATCAAGCTTGAAAGGGCTAAGAGCTATTATATAGATTTGAGCAGACTGAGATAGGTAGACAGATAAGTACAATAAAGAAGGCATATGAGCTAAAGGTAATTTTTACTCTTTCACATTTAACTGTATCTTCTTTGTATCACTTAGAATTAAATATTTGTATCAAGCATACATTTATCTCTATCATACAGCATTAATTTTTAATAATAGTTAAAGTGAAATTTTAGCATTTCTTTTCTAACTTACCTACTCTTCAACACTAATAGCATGAAATATTTAGATCCAGACAACCTTCATGTAACCACACAGGCACACACCATACAACAAAAAACCTCTGATAAAACTTTTATCAGTTAAAGAACAAAGTAGGACAAAACATTGTTTTATTTTCTTATTCTTACTTTAGTAAAAATGTTTACCTGGTTTCATATTCTTAGCACACATTTTTAAAGCTGAACATCCTTTAGGCATCCATAAATTGTAGCCATGTTACAAATACAATAAAACATCATAAAATTTGTACAAAAATAGGCTCCTGTGATTCAAAAATTTAAAATCACTATAACATAGAATTCACATTGCATGATTAAATAAAAACTTTTTCAACCAACCAGAAACCAGTCCACCAAATTTTTCTGGCAGTCTCAATTTTTTATCCTTAACATGAAGCAATTTAGCTCACCTCAACAGATGTTTTTCAGCTTTGCATCAGCTTACCAAATGTCCCTATCTTTACATTAAGCAAAGAACATTAGTCCAGTCTAGTCAAGCTCTTCCAACATTGACTATATATATATATATATATATATACACACTTTATTGTAAATATACACTTACAAAACTTTTAGTCAAAAAAACTTTTTCAACTAGGACTTTCTAAACATAATGTCCAAACTGTTTTCCTCATACAAGTCAAAATTTCTTCTCAAGGTTAATACAAACTCTAATATTAGTACATCTTAGTACTTATCAAACTTTGCATGTCTAGTATTTGTTTAATCTTATCAACACTTGCTATGCATAAATTACACAATCACCAAACTCTAAATATATTTCACTTGTTATTAAAAGTTAATTTCTTTGAATATGCATATTTGTGTTGATTCTTTCAATTCCTTCTTCATCTGTTTTGGATTAACTGAACCATGAGAGAAGAGCAGAATTAACTTAGAGGCAGATAAGTCAATAGGAATTTGACTGGGCACAACAACAATGTTGAGCATTTTGACATGACGTAATGGTTAACAAGCTTGTCTCACTAGATCAATTAGAACTGAATAGTAA